TTTTTTTTTTTTAATGGCAAACAAAATCTTTTTACCACTTTTTAGATGCCAAAAAAAAAAGAAGTAAAAAAAGAAAAGACTTATTTTTCGGAAAATAATTATGAAAAAATTTTTTTGCTTTCAATTTTTAAGTCACCCACATAAAAACGGATACCAATTAACGTCCGAAATAAAAGAAGCAAATTTTTAGTAAAATTTTTGGTTCGATTAAACATTTCGTATCTGAACAATTTTTTGCTAGTCAATTCAATGAATTATATAAAATCAGATCTGATAAAAGTAAAAAAGTTTTTCTATTTTTCACCATAAATTTTGGATAAAAACAGCTACAAAACAGATAGAAAAGTTTTTTTTACTTAACCAATTTTAGAAGTCAATAAAAAAGGGCCAGTTTTCCTATTTATTTCCTATTTTTATCCCTTTCAAACAGAAGGTAACATTAGAAGAAACAACCCTGAACAATACTGTTCAGTGCGCAACAATTTGCACTCACAACCATCCAACTAAAAATATTTTGCAGAACTGCACATTTTTACGATTTGTGGTTATATCTTTTTTTTTTCTCCCCTTTTTCTTTCCAACAGTCACTACCTTTTATTGTACCATTTTAAAAATCCTTCCACAGATGTTTCGAAACGTAATTCTTTCTTAATCAAAGTTTTTGCAGCTACTTTTTTACGTATTGATTTTGTAGAAATATTCCTAAACCCCCGTTGTTCTATTTCAACTTTCCCAAAAATAAAAGATGCGCAAAAGAAAGAAAAAAACAAAAAAAAAACAAAAAACAAATTGGAAAGTAGTCTTAACATTACCCTACACAGACAATTTAAATGCAAATACTCTACAGGTTTCAAAAAAAAAAAGCTACGATCACTTAAAGTACAAAATTAGAAAGAAAGCAATTTTGTGTTCTAAACGAACTTCTAATATCAACAATTTAAAATCCATATTTCAAGAAAACGTTGTCGAATAAATACCGTAAAAGCCATATAACAGAAGAAAAAAGCAATAAATTGTATGCTATTACACCGATAATCAATGCTAATAAGATATGCGTAGAAAATAGAAACAACAATTGAATTATTGTTTTTTTTTTTTTGTTTTTAAGCTATCCAACTATCCACTTTATTTGTAGATCAACGTATTTTGCAGCTGGGAAAGTATATTTGTCAAATTTCATCGACTACATACAAACCAACTGTTTTCTTTCCATTTCTTTTGCCTCTATAAAAATCTTACATCCAAAAAACTGCATTTTCATACCCACAATTATGACAAGGTAAACAGCCAAATGATAAAAACAGCTTCCGAAAAAGCGGTACATAACATCAGAAAACTTAAGAACTTTAGAAGAAGAAAAACAAGGTTATCAATTCAAACCTGGATAAAGAATAATCAAATCATTTCCGCATTTCGTTAGCTAATTAATTTGATCAAATATTGCTCTGAAACACCTGGTGCTTCTTTACCTGTGATCTTCAATTAAGGACAATATTTTAGTAGATCTCTCACTGAAAATGTTACAACAGGAATAAAAGAATAAAGTGAATAGAAGCAGTTACTGTAACTTCAAGTCAAAATTTCAAATTTTACTCATTACAAAAACCTTTGATAACAAAACATGTAATTTCTGATTTTCTTTTATACGTTTCACAATACTTTACTGGTGAGACAATAAAACGTCGACTGCACTACAAAAACAAATAATAAACGTTACTCATATCCTGCGCATTTTTTATGACAATATATTTCCCAATATTTTACGCCATACAAAAACTTATATTCTACTCAGTCTTTCACGCTTTTTAGTTACTTACTAACAATTGCAACCCCAAAGAGTATTTTGGTTTTATGTTCACCTATTTTAAGTTTCAGGAATGTAGAGAAGACAGTCTCAGAAAAACAATTTTCTGACCTATAAATTAACAAAAAAGGTAATTGTGAAGAAGTGAAAAAGAACCGACAGTTACTCTGCGTCAAAACCTTCCTTCTTGAATTATGCATTTCCTTCGCATTTTGCGTACAAGTTTCCCAGTACAAACTATTCAAATTCTGCAGATGAATACGTACCGAGAACTGGAACAATGCAGCAGTTTTGAAAAAAACTTTCTTACGCTATTTTCTTGGGAAAAATAGCTCTCATCTTAAACGCATCCGACTACTGATAACGTTTAATCATTATGTGGGCGTATTACAAACGGCACTTTTGGACAGTCGCGCTAATAATTATAAAAACTATTTTGATATCGGAATGAACAAATTTGACCGAAGTTTTCAGTGTCCACTGTTCCGATGAGAAAGATGAGTGAAAAGGCGGCATACTGTGCGGATCTGACGCTTTCAC